AATGAAGGAATAGCAGCTCAGTTCGGCATAATACATGCAAATATACATGTTCGATTTTTATTAATTGCTGTAGTATTTTATACACTAAACTAGAATTCTGCCATCTGACTAGACATCCTTCCCTTACCCAGTCTGCACCAGCAGCCTGAGAAGGAACTTTATTTTTAAGGGGAAAAAAACCCAAAACCTCAAACGCAATTCACAACATTTTCATCAGTCAACAGTTACCTCAAGCAATTAAGACATATGATGGGCTATACATCTACTTTTCATTTCTCTTTCCACAAACAGTGGTTCTTTCCTAAAGCCCACTTCCCAACACAGCTAATGTAGATTGAGTGGAGAACTCTAATATTAAAAAGCAATTTATCTTCTAACAGGCTTCTTATTTCCCCATTACAGTCACCACCAACCAATATGCAGCGGCCGTGACCAAGGTAATGGTTTTATTTATCCTGTTTCAACCTGAATGGCTATAAAATGACTGATTCATTTACTAAACAATACCAGATCAATTGATTTTCATCTGGGCCACAGGACTGATCTTTTCAAGTCCAAATCCAAGATTTATATTCAAGGAACCAAACTGGTGTGATACTATTAACTATAATTACTAGTAACTGTGCAGTACACAAGTGCATTAAAAACAAACATGATGGAGGTAAGACATAAAGGAAACAAAAGCCTGAGTACCACAAGACAAGGTTAGATTGACTCCTAAAGCCTATACTCTTTGGGAAAACACAGCTGACTCAGGCAGTTCCAGCAAATAGTTATTATAAAAAGGCTAGAAAAGTGGTCAAAATAAGAAGATATATACTTGTTTCAAAAGAGCATAGTTTGAATAGACAGAGTTTGAAATATGCATTAGCAAGACACTTATTTTGGTGACAGTTTTTCCTAATGTGGAACCAAATGACGACACTGCAAGGGGAGTTTAGTAATACATTACTGGTTCCTTTGGTTTCAAACGTTAGCATCACACTTCCTCCTTCAGGCATATACAAAATAAGGCTGTATAGATACTGATCTCCAAGTTCCGTTCTTCAGTCAGACACTACTAAACATAATACAACTCCTTCCTATAAAACAATAGAAAACCCACTTTCATCCACATGTTAAAGAGGCAACTCCCATCCCTGGCCCCTGTAATCCGACTTGCCACTCTATGTATGTATAGGGTAAGACAAGTTCACCCATCTTGGCATCATAAACAATCCACAGGTTACTCTGTGGCAGAAACTTCAGACCAAAGGGTTTTTAAAATCTGACCAGTCACCAAATGATCAGTAAGATCTTCATCAACTAGATCACGAAGCTATTGCTCGTAAACTACCATTCATAGAAAGAGTCTATGTTACCATTAAAAGCAACTCAGGAGAGTGCATGCAACTCCGGAAGCTTATCCAGAGTGATGGTTTCATCAGGAGAGAGAATGATGCTTATTCTAAGGCACCTGTAAAAAATAACAAGATAGGGATGGAATGAAAGAAGCCACGGGGGAAAAAAAAAGCTAGAAAATAACAAGCAAGGACTGGAACAATAAAGAGTTATTCTCGATTACAGCATACAAAGAAACAAACCACTGCCTAGCATTTCTCTGATATTTTTCTAAAAAGCAGCTCATCCGCTGTTCATCCTTCCATTAATACACATGCATCATCACAATGCCTCTATGTCCTTACAGGACTTTAAACCCGAGCATTACTCATGTACCGCTCATGTCTCCTCTCATCCATATACCCTATTACTTTCACTCCAGTATGTCTCCAAAACCACGTTATAATAAATAATACATAAGCAATCAGCCCATAGTGTATTTTTTCTCTCCAGCTAGAGACAGAGAATAGGACTATCCAACGGGGCTCTTGTGCACTAATGCATTATTTATGTACCAAAGTTTCAATGACCTTACCTCATGTGTTACTAGAATGAAAATAATAGCATTCTAAACCTTTCTTTTGTACTAAATTGCAGAAAGAACACTACTGTATTATCTGGCTATATCTCTGGTTGGCCAGATTGCTGTCCACCTGCGCCTGCCTACATGGAGAGATGAAACAAATTCATTAAACAATAGGTTATGCTTTGGTTATATACTGAAGATTACTTCAAGGAACTTGATCTGTAACTAGTACTTTTCCATCCACAAATAAGAAATCAGAAGTTGACTGTGAACCCGTTACAGGGGTAAGAGAGTAAAAAAAAAAAAAAAAAAAATTAAAAATAATGTAAACTCTAGATCAGCTATTAGTCACTTTTCTTTAAAGTTATTACTTATTAGTCACTTTTCTTTAACACTATTACTGCTCCTGCAAATATTAAAAGGAAATACAAACTACTATTTGCTTAAGTGATAAAGTAAGTATTCTCTGGACATGCATGAATCCACGTGTAAAGAAGACGGGGCAGGCTGTGAAAACCAAGAGGCTACAAACTGTACATTTTGTGTGTTTTGTGGAACTCCCTTAAGAACCAATTTACAAAATGTGGTTTCCTATACTAAATCAAAATTGCTGTGCAATTCAAGTAATAAACAGAAGCTAAACATGTTTTGTCTTAGAAGACAAACTGACATCGAGAAGACACCCTTCTTCAAAGGCTGCATACCAAGTATGCAAAGAATGTATTTCCTTATCACCGAACAGTTGAGGCTGGAAGGGATCTCTGGAGGCCGTCTTGTCTAACAACCTTGCTCAAGCAGGGTCACCTAGAGCGGATTGCCCAGGACCACGTCCAGATGGCTTCTGAGTATCTCCAAGGACAGAGATTCCATCTGTGGATTCCATTATCTGTGAACAGACTGTCTATAATATCAATCACCCAGCTCACTGAAAGTGAAATCAAGAAAGATTTGACTGCAATAATACTGCATGTCACTCAGGAGAAGAAGTTTTTCAAGTAATGTATTCTTTTAGTAGGCTACTCCAGCTAGGAAGTATATCTTGAAAGTTTTAAATTCTGAAGAATTGTTAGGTGTTCTGCAGACTTTAAAAAGTAAAATATCATGTTCATCCATTAGATATAAAACATGAAAGACTGTTTGGTTAATAAGTATTGCCAGGTATGTGGCAGGACCTGAAGATACATTTCGTAACAAGCCATTAGCGACTGCTGAGGCAGAGTCCCTGATTGAAACACGTCCTCCCTGTTGGCGTGGAAAACAAAGTGTGAAGAGAAAACAGAACTGCTGCTCAAGAGTCAACGCATGCTGTTTTCAGAATAATCTGAGAAGTAGTGTTGTTGCAGCAGTTCCTCTGTAAATTCCCTTTAACCTCTTGCTGTACTCCCTTCTCCTTTATTTCAGTGGAAACAAAAATGGAGGTCCTAGTACGACATCTTCTAACCATGCAGACACTGTATGCCCCATAGACTACACCTGATAACAATTTTCATAAACTGGCCTTGGGGTAAGTTGGCTTCTCTGTAAATATAGCGTAAGAAATGCTTCAGTAATTCAGAAGAAAAAAATGTCACTAGACTAAGAGAATGAAAGAGGTCTTTCACCTGCTGGGTTAAAGGAAGAACAAATACATTTAATTCGTAGAACTGATCGCACGAGATGTAACATCAAAGTTAGTTCTCGTTTTCTAACAGCCTACGTTATCTAATAATGTATACAAATGTAGAAACTTTAAATAGTGGAACCAATTTGGGTTCCACTATTTTGGATCTTCCCTGTGCGCTTTCTTTAATTAGGTCCTCAGACCTTTATATTCCTACTGTACAACTATGACTAGGTAAAATGACTGTGGTCTCCCCCCATGCCTCATAAAATCATGAAAAAGTAATGAAAATACTGGCTATTGCTAGCTGTTTCTTCATACATTCACTATCTAGTGCCTAACAGTACTGTAGAAAAATATCTGCAAAATACAAGTCTACAATCTAGTGTCGTTATTTGAATGTAAAAACAGACTTTAAAATAAACTTTCATATTAGCAATATTTAATTACTTGTGTAACATACTTTCAGCTTGACTATACGTTTACTGGAAAAGTAGTTGTTCACATACAAAAGAAAATTTTTAGTAGCTCAAGCTTTGGATGCTCATTATTACTAAATACAACCTTTGGCTAAAGGCACAATTCTTCATCTTTAAAATGAATGTATTGGATGATTATTTTTTCAAGGCAGATAAAGAAAGCAAAGATTCAGTCAAGGTGACAATTACCATCTGTCTAGCTACAGTAATTATGTGCTCCCAATTAAGTGTATGCTCATATTGAAAATCACCATATTTGTGTATTACTACATGCATTAAAGTTATGTATATGACTGTCTGCTTTGAAGTCCGTTAACACAGGAGATAAAAGATGATGAATAAATCTGCGTCAATGCCCTCTGTGAGTTAAGTTCCTTTCTACCACCTCTTCATCCATGGATGCTACCGTTTACACTTCTCTTTCCTCCACACCCTTCTCTTCCCTTTTTTGGGGACTGACTACCTGTTTGAGGGCTTACTGGGAGTACAACTAAGGACAGAATTAAAATCAGTTTAGCCTTGCACTCTCACAAGTACGTAACAAGTTATAGGTTGCATACAGGATGCAGAACACTGCTCATCAGGATGAATACAGAACCAAACATGCCTTGAAAACTGTTAAAGGAAGCACTGTGATACCTGAACACTCTGGATTACTCCTATGAATACATTTATACAGCTATAAGAAAACCAAGAGCAGTGTACTGTTTCTTTCTTTTTATAGAATTTAAATCTTGTGAAATTTAATTCTCAAGTTACTGAAATTCAAAGCAATACAATTGCTTATAAACATATTTGACTAAATATATTCAGAAAATTCCTTCAAAACAAACTTGTAAAATTTTAGCCTTTTGACTTCCATGGGACTATTTCACACTATGAACAAAACCAAAACGTAAGCAGAATTTTTGTGACCAAACTCAATAGAAGCAAGACCAGGTACCATACAGAAATTAACGTCCAACTCTAGTAAGAACAATGTTTTACTTAAAAGACAATATTAAAATACTATTACCTCCAGCAAGGATCTTCTCTTCCAAATCATTCATTTGTTTCTTGTAAGCTTTTAAAGCAGCTTCTTTAAATGATGGTCGTATTCTCTTTTTCTTTGGAGTTTCAGTAAGCATCTCTGGGACATTCTGATTTTCATCTTCCCTTACTTCTATGTCAGCAGCCGTGTCACTTTCAACTTCCAATATCTCTTCACTGACCACACTGTCAAACTGCGTGTCATATTGCTCCTCTGGTAGTATTGCATATAGAGTTTCATATGAAGGCTGCTCCAGTTCATATTCTTGGACCTGCTCACTAGTTTCACTACTATTAGTTCTATTTTCTAGTTTAGCAAGGACTTGTTCCATTACTTCCACGTAGTCTGTTTCATTCTCACCAGGTAGTCCAATTAAGTCTTCCTCATACTCTGCTTTGTAGCAATAAGGCTCAGCATAAACATCAGAATCGAGTGTTGTACTCGATTCATTTGCAGTAGACTGAGATAAAGTTCTAAACCTTCCCATGAAAGATGATCCACTGTCTTCATATCCACTTAAACTTTGTGTACTTTTATTCCAGACTACTTCTAAAGCTGACTTAGCACGTTGAAGCGTAGATCCAAATTTAGGAAAGCTGAAAGTCTTATCAGAAAGATCTATGCTTAATCGGCTATGCCACGATTTAGGGGCTGTTTCTTCTGAGTCGTCGCTTGGTAGTTCACTCTGACTTCGGTACATCATAGGCAATCTGTTTTGATTCTGATAAGGGGAGATAGAATTTGCTTCCTGATAATCATCATATTGACCAGTCCACTGACTTTGTGATTCGCTATCAAGGCCTGGACACAATGGAGAAGTACCATCAAGGGTAAAATCGTAGCTTTCAGTATCATACTGGAGGTCAGAACTTTGGCACTTTCCAAAATCTGTCTGTTGATCTGAAGGGCTGCTCATATCATACACAAAAACTTCCTGCGTGGATGAGTCTAGGCCCAAATCTGCCCCTTGTTCCAACTGATTCCAGTCTTTCCACAGGGAAAGATCATCATGTAAAGAAAGCTGAGAATCACTATAGTGGCTTCTGTCTCCAGATGCACATATTATTCCATTGCTTACTCCACTGTCAACAGTTTCTGTGTTTTCTACTTCATTTTGCTCTGGATACTGTTGCATATCTTGGACAAACGTCTGTTCCTGGGAACTGCCATACCAGTTTGTAGAATCATCTTGCCTTCGCTGCCAAAGTTCTCGATCGGAGGAAGACAATAGTGAACTGCCATTTGTTCTGCTAAAATACTGGTTTTCTGAAAAATCTTCAGAGTAAGACTGGCACAATTTTGAGAAATCTGACTCTGAACGGCTAAGCTTTGGTGTTGCAAAGTCATTCTGTAAATGCCATACAGGAGTCACGTCTGAATAATAGGTCGTCGACTGTTTTTCCATGTTGTCAAATTCTGGTGACCGATTGCCATAATTTCTTCTGTCTGAAAAGGTGTTATTGTCAGCAGTTCTGTTAAGGTCTTTAGTATCTGGGGACTCAATACTCCCCTTCGTAGCGCTTGGTTTTATCTGAAGTGCTGATTTAGATATCTTTGCATAACTGTTCTTATTTATATCTGATTCCAAGTCTTTATCACTGTCAGGTGACTCCCAGTCATGCATTTTAGTTTTTGTCTCCACAGTTAAAAGCTTCATATCCATACTCTCATATGTCTGAGAGGAAGGTAGTCCTCTTTCTTTCTTGTCTTTTATATCATGGGAAAATATATCTGTAGAAATTCCAATGCCAGTTCCTTTAAGTTTATAAGACTTTTTCAAAATCAAATCTCTCTGTTGTGATGATTCAAAGTAAACAAGAATGGGTCTTGGCTTTGCATTTGGACAGTCTCTTTGCTGCCCCAGTCTTTGGGCAAACTCAATTTTAATAGTGCTTTGTGCCTCTGAGAACCCCATTTTATCTATTAATATTTTGTAAACGATGCTTTCAGTTTTTTCAAGCCTCTCTTCAGGCACATTTAGAAACCTAAGACTCGCTTTGTTTCCTGGATGGCCTATCTGCTTAATGTAGTCATGTATGTCCCGAGTTTCTCTTCTGGACTGTACAAATCCAGTTCGCAACTGTTCAATTTCATTTTGTACAACTTCTACACTACTAGAAATTTCATCAATTGATTGTTTCAGAGCATTAACATGCCCTCTTAATTCAGAGAGTTCTGTTTCAATTTGACTTATCCCCTGAAGCTCTTTAAAGATCATTTCCATAACATCATGGGTTTGACTAATACAACCTGTTGAACTAAAGCCAGGTTCAAGAGTATTTGATTTCTGGTGACGGCCAGTTCTGTCTAGAGATTTACTTCTTAAGCCCCATGTTTTCTTCCATGTACTTAGTTCCGAGTCCGATGAGACACATTCTTGGCTCTTCTTCCATTTCCTTAGTTTTCGTAAAGCTCCCAGCTTCAGTGTGTGTAAAGTGCGTTCTCCGTCAGAACTTCCATCAGATGGTGCAAGGCTGCTTAAGCTTTTTCTGTTGCGTCTCACAGGCATTGTGTGTGGTAAGTATTCGTTTTTCTTACTTTTTACTTCACTTAACGACTCAGAATATGAACTATCATTTGAAGACAGATCTTGAACTATATCTTCATTATTATTGTTTGTTACAAAAATATGCTTTTGCAGTCCATTGGCAATAGCAACTCTGTAACTGAATGTTGGAGAAAGTGAAAATTCTCTATTACTTTCCTCTTCTTCAGTTGATAAGTTGCGAGCAGATGGACACTTGGCAATCTTTTTAACAGTGCTTTTTAAAGTATTCGAAAATTTTGGATTCTTTGTTTGTCCAATCGGAGTTAAGTCTTGTTCCTTTTTGCTCTGACAACTCTCTTTCCTTTTTGTACTATTTCCCGATTTCCTTGTAAACATTCCTTTGCAAATCTTATATATGTAAGACGAGATCAGGCTCTTTAAGAGGGCAGAAACCATGGAGTGTAATTTATATTAAGCTGTTTCCACAAAACACAATTTTTGATCCAGACAAGTATTTGTATCTCCAACAGGATCATCAGCAAATATTTCATCAACAGAAACTATAGACATATAAAATACCAATGCTCTGGTATCATTTGACAGAGAAAAAAGAAAAAAAAAAATCACACATCTGCTTGTTTGAAACCAAATCCTGAAGGGTTTTTGTATGTCTTGCAAAATCTCAGTCTGTTGCGCATGGCTTCTTGAAGTGTCTAAAAAGGAGGGAATGACATTACAATGGCTGCCAAACAAACTTGTCATTCAATAGTACTGATGTTGTTTTAACTGGGTTACAATGGAAACACAGAGCAGTTAAGCATTTATTTATACTTTCCCCATAATTGTCTGAATAGAATGTTTCATGAACAATTGAAGCTGAAAGCAGTTCTAGGCAAATATTTTTAACATAAATGAATACGCTATACTTATTTACAGGCTTCTTTGTGCAGTTTAATTCTCTGAGATATTTGGTATTAATGCTGTCTGCTTTCCTTCAGAGTAATGACACTTCAATTTAGATCCATATGATATACAGCAGTGGTCAAAAAACTGACAGGGGAACAAGTTGTTACTAGCTAGTAAAATAGAAGTAGAAAGGTGTCTCTTGGTTCATCTTTGAAGCAAGGTATCATTCTGTGCAACAAATCAGTATTGTAACCACGAAGTACTGTTCTATCTTGAGATTGAATTACGCACATGACTATGGTTTGAGAAATAGATGCTTTCGTTTTATATGAGACTTTAACACGTTATGGTAAGCCAGGACTTAAAGTGGGCATACCTCCTTGGTTTCTCCCCTTTAAGAAGAAAAAAAAAAACCAAAACAAACCCCAAACTATAGAACATAACAGAAAATCATAATGAACAGCTGATGGAACATGCTCATCCAGGTTACTATATTTTACATTGTTCTGGTCACAGAAAAAAAAAACCAACAAAAAACCCCACCCTACACAAAACGAGGAAGAGGGAGAAACAAATATGATTCGTAAGTCTCAGGACAAAAACAAATGCCATTACAACAGGAAAACAATTTGATCTAAAATATGGAGGAGTAAGAAAAGATTTCATGAGGTATTTGGAAGCTTCTATTCCGTAAAACAAAAGGCTGTATTCCATAGAAATGTAGTCAATGCATTTTAAACATATAAACATACTTTTTTGTACAGCATATCATTCATGTCCCAGTCTTATAGCTGCAGAATAAAACCAAGACAAATAGCTCAGAAAAATCCAACAAAGTAGTAGGTTCCTTAAAACGGCCACTTCAGTTTTTAAACCAGCTAAAAATTCTTTGGCAGAATAAGAAGCATATTTAGATACAGGGTATATGAAGGGTTAAAACTTGCTCTGTGGTGTCTTAAGAGGAGTAAAGGATATGAACTGTTCTCCTTGTCTGCAAACAGCGTGGCACTGTATGAAACCTTATGGTCCCCTCACACACCCCAAGATCTGGTCTTTTCATTACAGAGTTTGTCTTCACTGATATTTCTATTATTTTATAGTCAATAATAAACACTAACTACTGATTCATACTGCAGCAGCAAAATGCACGCTGTTGAATAGAGCCCAAGCAAAGCTGGTAAAAGCCTGGTTGGCTTTTAGAATCCTGGAACAGAGAATGTAAACAGACTTATTTCTTTTCCAGTTATAACAAAATTGGGGTACAGCACAAGAGCAAGCAGAACAGACAACATTCTTCATCCTTCCTAAAGTCGCTGCTTGTTATTTTATAGAAGGTGAAATATTTGTGGAACATGAATCACATTTTTAACATACGTGCATCAGCATAGCTCGTGACTTCTTTTTCTTCCAGTCTTATGCCTGAAGTCAGAGTATTAAGAGTGAATTAAGAGCAAGCAATGTTTGGAAGCAAAAGAATGCTCAATGAGACTGCATGCAATTTTCAAGGCATGCAAACGGCATCTCTCAGAATGTTATAAAGCTCTCACTAGAGCCACGGCTGCCTTGTTTTCACATACTATTAGTGGAGAAAGGAACCATCCTGGGACACTTTTCAGTATCAAAGGCATGTTTCTGGATGTAGAAACACTTGTGAACCATTCAGCTCTTACGCTGAATGTTTGTAACCATTTGTTGAACAGATCTGAAGTGTGACTGCCTGCCTCCTCTGCCCACACAACCACAGCTTTTTAAGTGCCCTCTTATACAAACTTCACTCAGATGACTTGGACATTCTTCTCATTGAAAAGACTTCAAACCAACAACGTATAAACAAGCTAGAAGGCTTGTTTACTGGTTCAGCCTCCAAAACATCAAGAAATAATGAAATTATCATTGGAATCTGGAACATTTCCATTCATTTTAAATAAGGTTTAATTCTTCTCTGTAGAAGAATCTTCATTTCACAGACAGCCATATATATGTTTTATCCAATGCCTAACCTATGCTTCTTATCAGACATACTTGAAAGTATTATAAATAGCTGCAGATTCAGTACTCAACTTACTTAAACCCAGTTTCTGACAATGCCATAGTAAATTAAAAGTTGTACTGTTACAAAAACACACAAATCTGCTAAATGGAGCAGATTTATGTTCTCTCATGCGAGTTCCATTCCACCTCAGCTATATTAGTCATACGATCTGTTCATCAGTTTAGAGCCTACCATTGCTCTGTCAAATACTCATTTTCTAAAATTGTATATCTACACATGGAATCAAGTTTGAGTCATTATAGGTCTCATCCATTACTTTTTGTAAAGGTTTGTATTGGGTTGTTCTTACCATTTTAAATCAGCGTAGGCTAAAACTCTAGGAAATAAGGAACAGTCTTTTGCGAAGCACATAGGACTAAGTGAATTACTTGAATGAGCCGCCAGCTGTCATTCAGTGATTTTCTGCATTTATCCAGGTCTCCCAATAAACCATCATGACCCTGTTTTTTATTTTCACTTTGCTTGTTTATTGACTTAAATCAATTTATATGATAAAGTTGAACACAGATGAGTTAACCCATTCTAAGCATAAGGAATCAAGTTGAAATGTTACAAAAGTAAAGTACAGACTTTATTCTAGGTGGTTATAGAGCAGGAAATGGGAAAGTGTTATGGATTGTGAGATTAGAAATAGAAGAAATTGTTAATGCGTTCCTTCTGTAAAGAAAGAACACAATGACACGTCCTTCAATTTTTTAACCCATAGCAAGTCTGAATATAGACTTTTGTCAATCAACTTGATAGTGAACAGGTAATTTGGATTGATTTCAAGGATACTGTTGATAACAAAGCATTGTCAAAATAAAACTTATCAGTTGGAAGCATCAGGTATAAAGGATCTTATTCCCAAGTCTAAAAATAATGTGTTAGGTAGAAGGGGGCAGAGTGGGTCGGGTTAATGATAGCTTTTTAAATAATGCAAGCAGTGTATTTTAGTTACATGTCTGAACACCAGATCCTCATAGATTCCCTATTTTTTCATTTTATCAAATCCAGCCCTCTATTTTTATAAAGAAAGAAAATTAAATCTTAAAAAAATAATTTCAGTATTTAAAAAGAATAGCTAGATCACTGCTGACCTTCTGTTTAGATCCCAGTAAATGAAACTGTAGAGCAGCAGCCCTCTCCATAATGAGGTAGCTTTGCGGATGCGGACTGTCCCCCCAAAAAAAGCAAGAAACAGGCAGAATCATAGCCCTGCTTAACCTTTACGCTATTAATAAAGTGCAGGAGGCCTGTGTGTGTTGGAAGGGGACAGGGAAGAAGATGAGACTAAAGTGCCGTCTCCCTCTGTAAAAAGGCATACAGCAGTCCGTGTTCACAACACCAAGACAGTAGGGGAAAACAAAACAAAACCAAAAAGTCTTTCTCCGCAGCAATACCACCCTGCAGTACTGCCAAAGTAGTCACTGCTGCCTATGGGCAGCAACATCTATTTGTGATACGCAAAACGCTTCACAGAAATGAACAATCACACATGACAAAATGTAAACAATCCACTTTGCAGCCACAGAAACTGAGGCTGAGAGGTTCTCTTACTATCAGAAACATAAGGAATCAATAACAGAATAACTAGAATTCAGATCTACAGATTTCTCAAGTATGGTCTTTGACTAGTCTTGTGGTCGCCTGGGAATAAGGTTATCCTGACATAACTGCACTTAGCATCAGTGTATGTCTGCTGGGTGAAACCTACGCTACCTTTCTTTAGACAAGCATAACTGTGTATACTCCAGATTGCTTCATCAGTTTACCGTAACAGTAGCATTAGACTGACGATCACCTCAGATGATCTAATTCAGAACTGAATTTGGAACAATTATCTGCTCCTTCATATCCTTCTTAAATTCCCCTTATATTCTTAAATAGTGACATTTTTGATCTGTGTTACTGGTGAGTCTCTTGAGGTAAAGTGATACTCATTTTAATACTGCACATGCTACATAGATGACCTGCCTGCAGACCCTGGCAAAGACAAGGACAACAGCAAGAAAGTTGTTCTGCTTTCTCTTTTGGATAACTACTCTTTGTTCCAGGAAATCCTCAGGTTTTCACCAGCAGAGTTTTGCTCTATCCTATCACCCCCTCCAACAGTCACAGGAGAGCATGGAGTGCTATCAGCACTCTCTCCTTTTGGCTAGAAAGCTATTCCTATTGTCCGTCAACATCATCGCTTATTTATCTGGTGATACTTCTTTATGGATCCTGCTATCACTGTATCTAACCACCATTAAACACGTTGCCTTTCTATTTATGTGGAATGTTACCAATACAACTAACCACCAAACTGCTGTTTCAAACCCCAGGCTGAAGAGACTACAGCCTGCTGTTTTTTTAACCCACAAGGCCTACTGCTGTCCTGAAGAGCTTGCACATAGCTCATCAAGTACGCTATGGAATCCAATCTAAATATTTAACAGTCATACTGCAAGACTGGTCATTCGTAGCTGTTACTTGACTTATCTGTTCTTTCAGCATACAACTTAATCAAGTTTAAGGATAACAACAGATGCAAACAGCACATGCTTAAAACTGACTTCGGCTCATTGTGATTTAGAACAGCGTCTGAAACAGAAGCCACATATAGAACTTCATATATTAGTGAACTAACTCGGTGGTTTAACAGTTATTTGCAATTGAACTACTTCATAATATATAGAAGCATATTGTCTTCAGGACCGCTTAGAAGAAAACGTAAATTCCCGGCTAGCTAGGATGAGTAGTTGTTCTGGAGAGAAAAGTCATCTTCACTGC